ATGGCATTGGACAAATTGTAATGTTTATTTCTTGTTTCGTGGTTTTGCAAAGCACTTTGAACTGCCTTGTTGCTGAAAGATGCTACACAAATAAACCTGACGTGACTCTAATCCTGAGGGTGAAACAGAACCTGGATCCAGTTGGTAGAACGATTTCTGGAGCATTTCTTCTGAAACTTTGGCAAATAAAGTTTATCTGGACGATTTAAACAGGAGTGGAGAGGAAGCGCTGCGGTGGCCTCCGGTTAATCCTGCTCTCTTCTCTCCTTCCAGGGCTTAATTGCACTCTGTTGTTAGAGAGTGAGTTCTCCTGCTCGTCCTCCGCTCTGCTCTGTGTGCTTTGCTCCATGCGCTGCTGTGTTTTCTGTGCAGACTCGGCCTCTTCCTGTCGTAGTTTCAGTGTTTTGATGGTGAACCATATTCCTGCTTCCTGCTTCTGTTTGCATCTCCTGTCCGCTTCATTCGTCTCGTCGTTTTTCTGCAGCAGCATAGCGATGTTGGTCTTTAGTGGGTTTTTCGTGGGACGTTGGTTGATGTTTCATTCACTTTCCTGATTTAAAATGCAGTTAGTTGGATGTTGACGGTTACATTTTTTCTAATTTTGTCAAATTGCAGACAAAAACTCCCAACACTTTTCATTGGGTTTTTATGTTGTAGTCCAGACGTTTGTAACTGGTAACCCTTTACACTTTCCACAGTGGCTCTGAACTTTGGATAAAATAATAAAGAACCACCAAACCCTTTTAAATACAGATATTACGCAATATTTTCTGTTATTTCTAGCAATAGCAACAGAAGTGACATAATATGTACTTGTTTTGGGAATTTCTTAGGAAACGTCATGTCGCTGCACAAATATTTAATCATATTTTCATATTTATTCATACTGTAATAGACCCAACAGTAGAGAAAATAGTATAAACAACTATTCTGACAGACATTAGTATGTATTTATAGTCGTGATAAATCCAAAAATTGTTTAAAATCACAATAAGTGCACAGCTAATAACCGTAACTGTGAAAAGGGTCTATTAGCTAGAAGGGATAAAGCAGAAAAACTAACGTTATATAAAAAAGCAAAAGACTTGACGCCGATAAGCACGGCTGAGTCTGAGGGCTGTGTACGTTTAATAATGTGAGAAAAACTAAATTTTCTATTTACTTAATACAAATATAATGAAGGGCTTTGGGAAAAAGTCTACTCAAGTAACTGATCAAATTATTAATCACTTGATATTTTAAAATTACATCATCAGTCGGACCAAAATATAAAGTTATGTGGAAATTTTGGTGTTTTATGGACGAAAATGACAATAATTAATATAAGTAGCAAAAAATAACAAAATCAGGCAAAGGAAAAATTTTCCAAATCGGTTTCTATCAGTAAAAACTGATCAAACTTTAACAAAACTGCAGGTTTGTGTCTGGTGAATTTTTGGTTAAAACAGTTTTGCTTTTCATTCAGTGGGTAGAAAATCCAGAAATTTTACTCAAGAGCAGAAATACTTCATAATAAAATTACTGAAGTAAAAGTCAAAAGTACAAATACATTTTTTAAAAATATTACTCAAATGTAGTTGACTAAATGTAAGTAGTTACTACGGCAACAAGCTCCTGATCTCTCTCTCTCTCTGTCTGTCTTTGTGTCTGTGTGTGTGTGTGTGTGTGTGTGTGTGTGTGTGTGTGTGTGTGTGTGTGTGTGTGTGTGTCCGTGCACGCGCGCGTGTGTGTGTAGACGTGGGCTACCCTCTGTCCCGGCCGGTCCCGGATGAGGAGAAGCCTCTGACGGACGAGCTGCTGCAGGGCGTGGTGCGCAGCATCCAGAGGAACGACGTCGGCCGGCCCATGGCGCAGCTGCTGCAGCTGCTGGACCGGATGCTGGGGGTCAAACGCCAAAGGTCACTGTCAGGCAAACCGCTGGATTCCAGTGACGCTGTAACGTTACGAATGATGGGTTTTGTTTTGGTTTGTCAGGAGTTTGTACAGAGACATCCTCTTCCTGTCCCTGGTGGCGCTGGGAAAAGACAACATCGATATCGGTGAGTCAGAGTCCTACCTACCTCCCTACCTACCTGCCTACCTACCTCCCTACCTACCTACCTACCTACCTACCTACCTACCTACTTCCCTACCTACCTACCTACCTACCTACCTACCTAACATTATTTTTCCTGTCAGACGCCTTCGATCGTGAGTACAAGCTGGCGTACGACCGCCTGCTGCCCCCGCTGGTCAGGCTGACCCATAACTGTGACCGTCCTCCGGGCGCCGGCGTCATGGAGTGCCGCCGGACGTTCGGAGAGCCTTACCTGTGAGTCGCTCACCTTCACCTCCTCCTCTTCCTCACCGCTTCACCTCCAGCTCAGGAACCCGCAGCAGGACTGGACCGTCGCCGCGGTAACGCTCGGCTTCGTCCAGCACCTCGCCTCGTTTCTGTTGAAATCCAACCAAAATACACAGAGAGAAAAACCCTGTAAATAAGCGCCAGTTTTTAATCCAGCATTTATATTGTGTAATCATAAATCACATGGAGACTAACTGCAGCAATATTTTAACTTGAATTCTATTTATACAAAGTTAGCTTTATTTATTGTCCTGTTGCAACTCACCGCTCTCACCTGCAGACTGAAGGAAACCCGCTTCGTGTTGCATCAAAACACCAAAAAATAAAAATAACTAAAAGCCGTGTTCACCAAGCAGCTGTTTGAAAAACGATTTCATGCCAAACATCGACATAAATGTTTCATTCAGTGACATTTAATGTGCTTCTGTGCTTTATTCAGAAGAGACCTAGCAAACCGGCCGCTCGACTCGATGAGAGAGGAGCAATAAAGCTAGATTTTACTTTTAAATATAACTTGAAATGTTCCCGTAATGACCAGACGATGTCTCTGTTTCTGTTTAGTTTGTTTTAAAACCTTTTTCCAATATTTTTTTTTGTCAGTCACTTTCTGAACGGAGCATCATCATCAGGACTCCTCTGGTTTTTCTGGTTTTCAAAGTTCTCAAGGCCAGAGTTTAAATATAAAACCTGGAAGTACAACACAGACATTGTGATGCACTGCAAAAACAAAATATTGCCAAGTATTTTTGTCTCGTTTTTATTGCAAAAGTCTTACTATGCTTGAAATGAGAGAAAACTACCTTAAAAGAAGCTTTTTAGTAAAACATAGGAGTTTATTTTATGTTGGAAAAATGTCATAAGGGAAATAATGGCAGTGAAACTTGAACTTTTTCATGATTATTAATAATGAAAACAGGCTCCAATACCTTGTTAAAAAGTTACCTGTAATTTAGTTTTGTCTTATTTCAAGTGTACTAAGAAATTTGCACTAAATACTTGGTAAGATTTTGTGTTTTTTGCAGATGGAGCAGAAATGCATAAAATATCAAAATACTCCAGATGTTTCTCAGTGTTTGTAGACTGCAGGTAAAATACAGTTTATTTTTAAAAGCACTTAAAATTTAATTTTGGTCAAAACCACTTTCTAACAAACTCTTCGTATTCAATCAGAGTTAATTATTAAAATTTGCATCCATATTGTAAATTCTCAAAGAATTTTTTGCTCTACAGCTATACGTCTAATATTTTCTGTAATTTTCACAAAAATTTAAACTTGACTGATGCTAAAATTCACATCTGAAATTAAATATCCAGATTTTATGCTTTAATGCTGCACGTGAAATTAAAATGTTCTTAAAATCCTTTCAATGTTTAATTTAATTTGCAAATATTTTTAAAAGATTGAATACTGCAAAAATAAAAAATCCTAAGTATTTTGTCCATCTTCCAGTGCAAATATCTTCGCACACTTGAAATAAGACAAAACAAAATTACAACGAACTTTTCAGAAAAATATAGGCAATAATTCCTTATTGATTAAAGAAGTATCAGTTGCATTGGCAGATTATTTCATTTATAAAGTGTTATAAGTGAAATCTGCCAGTGGTACTTCCTTTATTTAATATTAAGGAATTATTGACTTAAATCAAGCTGACAAGTTGCCTGTAAGTTAGTTTTTGTCTTATTTCAAGTGTTGTAAGACAGTTACACTAGAAACCAGATCAAAGACACTTTGTAATATTTGTTTTTACAGTGAATGAAGTCGAACTTTTCAGGTTTTTCTCATCAGATTCTTCTACATTGTGAGATCTTTTCTCATATCTAGAGGAAAAAGCTAATTTTCTTTAAATTTTCTGTCACAGTTGCTAGAAAACATGAAATTTGCTCAAAATCTATCAATGGCTAAAAAAAAATTAAAGATCACTGCTAAAGTACGATGTTTAAAAGTGGGTCCAGAATATTTCTGATCCAGAACTTTACTGGCATTTTAACTTTTATGAAGTTATAAACTAAATGAGATTCTGTTGGGAAGAACCAAACGAACTGGACAGAACTTGATGCTAACACCTTATCAGTGTTTTTATTTTATCGTATGTTTTTTAATGAACGGTACCGGTCCCAGTTCTGGACCTGGAGTCACATAGATGTTTGTTTGTGGATTTGGTTGAAGGAGGACTCCCGAGTTTAAGCTCGAGGGTTTCATGAACGTCGACCAAATGTTGCAGAAGAGACCAAAACTGGAAAAAATGAACAAGTTGCACTTTAATCCTACCAGAAAAAAAATACCTGATGAACCGGGATTTCTGCTGCTTGGAAAAAAAGAAAGTTTTTCCAGAACCGAGTCAATAAATGTTTTGTTTGTAAAACAAAAAAAAAAAAAAAAAAAATCAAATTTTCTACCGCCGGGTTTTTTTCCGGGCGAAGAGGGTTGGGCGACTGCATCGA